GTTAGTTATACGGCCCGCGAGTCACCGGTTGTGGGCCCCCATATAAATGAGAAATACAAACACAATTTTGATCGGAAATATCTCAAGGAAAGTGGCCGTTCGTAAGACGGGAGAATAATACTGAGATCGATCTTGAAGAAACAGGGTTGAGGGTATTGAATGTGTTCAATTCGGTCAGGACAGGATCCAATGAGGGCTGTTGTAATTAACATTCAGGTTCGAGGAAACTTACTGACAAGCATGCGAAAACCCGCTTTTCAAGAGAGGCCTTCCATCATGTAGTAAACACACAAATGCTGTTAATAAACTGCTATAAGAAGTTTTGTTTCGAGTCGAAAGGGACTTAAATCTAGGGATGCAGGTATTTGTATTTGTCTTGCTAGAGTCTGGGATCAATTTAACCACAGTTCAAGCCCTTTTAGATTCAGCACAACACTGAATACTGTCCGGGCGCGAGGCCGGCCCCACCCTTACTGCACCGGGGCTTATCAGGGGCTCCATGCGGCACTCGACTGGCGCATGACGTCACACGGACCTAGAGCGGGGAAAGGACGAGGCGGGGATCGTAACGGGGCATCGATTATCGTGGCAAGGGTACATACAGACGGCGATCAGAGGCAGGAAAGGTAGGCACCGCCCTGCGAACAATGCATGCACTGGTAATCGCCCGAAGAGATTATGCATGAATACAACGAGGAGACTGTACTCAGATAATACCCCCTCCCTCGCCAAACATCCTATGGGAAGAAACACAATAAATATCTGCTATTATTCAGTTGCGAATACGTTCCGTCGGTAAAGACAGTAATTCCCTGAGTTTTATGATACGACGTATTTATAACGAAAGGGAAATAATTCAATCTTGCGTACTTCCAGTGAACTACGTGTTTCTCTGGACAAGGGTAATCAAACAGCAGTTTTCAACCATTACCCGTTGAAATAAAACCAACTGAATATCTACGCACGAGACGACTTTACAGTTCACTATCTTCCCCATGCGTGATATCCGGGACGTCTTATATGGTTAATTAAAACCTAAATTCTGTGCACTACGCCGCATAATAAAACCAAAGAGGGTTATGGTCTACGTTGTGTGCTGCAAAGGGAAACATCTGCTTGCAAATTGGTTGCTTAACATACTGCTGGCAGGTGGAGGCCAAGCAACCCCCCAGCACACGCCAAGATTCATGCTGGCTCGCTCACACAGCAACAAAAAGCTTCCAATGAAAATCTCTCGCCGACTGTGTCGGATAAGGTTACGTTCGTACAGCTACATTCATAAAGGGAAGTTACTTTACGCCTCTACTCTAAAAGTTTAACATTTAAGTGGCCTTAATTTTCGTATAGAAATACAAAGGAACTGGTGTTACACAGCACACAATAAGGAAAGAAAAATACAATTATCGATAACACTGTAATACAACATCGAAGAAACTGCCGGCCCCACATCAATAACACTGCAGCTCTCAGAATAGAATGGCCGTGTTTTATTTAACTCACCTTGTCGAATCATGGTTGTTGTTGTACGGACTTATCTATCCCTCACATATGACACATACACATAATGCACTTTCTACTTCACGCACCAATGAATAATGAATTGTTAAAACAGACGCTAAACATGCTTTATTATCCACACCGCGTTCATCTTCCCCACGCACTTACGACAGGCAACTGTCATTGTCAATACACACAGCGCTCCAGACGACACTGCACTCAACGCGGTCTCAGCTCGACTGTTCACGACTTCTCCCTGGTATTATCTGTGTCTCCTAGCGACCCAAGCGCGAAACACATGAATCAGATTGTGTGGTATGTGCAGAAAAATGCGCTGTTCAGGCAATGCTACTGGCGGGCCACATAGTAATTTGAACGACTTAAAAGGTTGAGAAATACATAAATACTGTATAAAAAAAATCAAGTACTCATCGCCACGTAGTGTCGAAGTCAAGAATTAATGAAGCTATAACTCCGTTTCGTTATTCACGTCGCAGTAGTTTGTCAAACACAGGGACATCTTACAACAAGCCAAGTAATTACATTTATTCCGCTCAGAGACGTTGTTTACCAATTTGCTGTCTGCGAAATTAAAGTTTCAACAATTACAGTTGTAATTTTATTGATAATTAGCAAACTAAATCAACTGAGAATGTAGAAAATTACAAACTGAAGAACATTCATTATGTACAAGGGTTAATTATTAATAAATAATAAAATGCGCTGAGCATGAAGCATATAATGATCAAACCTAACTCGCCTACGCCATTTTAAAAGGGAAACACTGAACAGGAAGAACTTGGAAGACTAAGATAAAATCACTGAACCATGGAATAGACAATTTATATATGATGTAAGCATAGGATCCAGGTGGCTTAGGATAATAAACCCACTGTCGGACTTTACATTTACAGTGATGTATCATGAATGAGACGCTTGATCAATCAGTCAGTCAGTCCATAACCACAGTCTTTATGAAATTAATTAACAGTTCGTGCACTAATAGCGTTTCATTTCTCTACGAGGTAGAAAGTAAAGAATTGATGTACTCCTCATACGATCCGATTAAATCTTGAGACAGCATCAAACAAAGAGAGCAGATCTATTCGGTGAGATATGAAACCTGAAGGTCTTCTTGGATCTGACGTCGTGAGGATTTGTAGATAGATACCAAATTTTGGAGAAGTATACTATCTCCATTTTTAGGGTTGAATATGAAGATAGCACGTTTTTCCGACATGTTGAGATCAACCTGGAAGTCCGCACAAGCTAAAATACCATCATCGATGTTGTACGCTAAGATGTTACTTAAATGCCCTTAAATACTATAGAAGTACCTCTACAATATTATAAGGTATTGTATTTTTGGCATGGGGAACGTGCAAATGGTCTGCTATTGCTGATAACTGATAGTAGGTTAATGCAGTGATATTAAACCTGGGGCACGAGTACCCCCGGGGGTACGTGAAATTTAAAAAAATACACTGAATAATCAGTAATGTAATAGATTTTAGATGTAGATTATATACTATTATAACTTGAATTATACACCAACAACTTTGGGGGTACAAAGTTGAAGAGAAATTTTATATGGGGGTACGCGAACAAAAAAGGTTGAAAGATTAATGTGTTTTATGGCTGTGATCTCAGGGCTAATTTGCTGTATCACAAATCAGCAGACCTGAAATATAAAACTTTAAAAGCCAAACGCCCTTGTTGAGCGGTAAACACTCGTTTCGTGTTCAAATCTCTGCCCGAAGAACGGCTATCCTGACTAAGGTAGCGTTACTTTCACATACCAGCTCCAGTTCCCAATTTATGTTCACTTGAAACAACGTAAAACAATTTTCTTTATTTCTTTGTAAAACAAAGTAGGTTTGGGAAAAGTTTTAAAGCATTACAAAAATTTATCTTCATTTCCTTTCGTGTAGATACCATTATTCTGCTCTAATTAATCCAGTGGTCAACTGTAATAAATATTATTTTCCTGTAATCAACTGAACTGAGTAAACTTTACCTTGTAAATACATTATAAAATTATTAATTGTTAATTTAACAACGCTTTTTCAAATGAATGGTTTATATTGAATTGGAAAGGACGTGAAAGTAAACAGTAGTGGCCGCCATTCACCTGGAGGGACTGAGAAAAACCACGAAAAAAGCAGTAAGGATAACAGGTCTCTGGGCCGAGATGTGAACCTGGGATTTCCCAAATACGAAGCAGGAGTGTTAATCACTCGACCACGACATCCTTGTTTTATAACAGTTACATAATTCATTTTACTCATGTGTAAACGAAATTTTTTAAGTCTTAATTTGACAAAAATGTGTTTCAAATAGAAGTTCAAAACTTTCAACTATTATGCTTAATGCAGGAACACTTTTCTGCAAAGCAATGTCTGTCTATGAAATCCATGATGCTTCATATGTTCTATCAGAAATGTGCAAATATTTAAATGTTATAAGTCCTTAGCTGTTAAATTAAACCCACTGTAACAGAACCTAACCTTAAAACGTCATTTCTCAGACAATCAAGTCCTTGACTTTATGGACCCAGAAGGTACAGTATCATTTCAGGAGGTTGGTACTGGTCAAGACAACAGCTTGTTCCTTAGTACACATCAGCTCATGCGCAGAAGATGCACACACACACACACGCAGGCAACCTCAACTACGGGTGCGCGTGCAGCTGCTCACCACTTCCTTCTAGTCTGTAAGTTGGGGTAGCAGCCCAATGACCCCTCTGGAACAATGTTTTCGCAACTAGTGCCAACCTCCCAAATCACACCACACCCCTACCTTACACTAGTACAAACCTTCTTTAAAGAAATAAAAATGTACGCTTCAGCGCAACTGTAGCATTTGTTTTATGAAATTCGTGTCAATAGTGACATTCCATGAACGTCAGATCTTGAAACAAACCCGCCTGCACTTTTCTGTCCTCCGTTATGCACTCATCCTGTGTGTGACCTCTCTTATTCCATATTTTGATCTCTTCTAATGGTCTATGGCCACCTTCATTTGTTCTAATGTTTTAAAAACAAACCTATTAATGTCCACATTATACACACTCGTACACCAACGTTGGTACAGTTCCTACCTTCAGATCGTCATTTACTACTTCTAATTCGCTTACATCTCAGCCTCTGTTAACATTTCTGCTCCAAATGTCAGAATGGGAAAATATTTTACAAAACTTGTTTATTTTCTGATTCCAAATTGTCTGTTGAAACTTTCCAGCTCCATGAATTATCTTTTATTTCTCCTCGAATGACATTTCACCACTAAAAAGAGCTTTGATATTTCTTCAAATATTTTACATTTAATACCCGCATGTTCTTACCAATTTTTCATGAACATACTTTTAAGATTTCCGTCTTTTGGGTTGTTGTACGATACTACACGGCGCAACAACCCGGAAATCTTCATACTCACCGCTGCGAAAACCTCAAATCATACAACATACTTGTATCCCGTTTGACTTCTCTAAGCTTCCATAATTTTATTTTCCATCCCTTTTCAGTCCTGCCAACAGCGATTTACTGCTCGTCGTATGAAACATGTCTGTTTTCAGTCCTGCCAACAGCGATTTACTCCTCGTCGTATGAAACAGGTCTAGCGTCCAACGCATTCATCACAACGTTGGTTCTCAGGAAACGAGTAACAAAATGTTTATTTTTCTTTTATACCTCTTGTGGCATTCAATGCAGTCGAATCACGTACTTACGTTAGTTTCCAACTGAAATTATGGCCCAAAACTACAATATTCATTATCAACGTGCCATCTGAGATACTGATAATTTCAGATATATATCTGTAAGGTAACATCGAAAGCACACAGCACAAACAGTAACCTCAAATTTACTCTAAATTCACACTTATCTTTTTGGTGTAAATAACACAGGACATCCAGGAAAATGATCACAAAAAGAAACGGAATGTTTCTTTCAAACACTCTACCGCGAAGAAGTCGTAATATGGGATCTCCTGAATTGAATTACAATGGGGTTTTACTCAGTCTATTGCAAGGTAACAAACACTTCAAAAGCAGGAATTCTTTGTGGGGTTAACTGTACGGTAATTACCACTACTAAAAAATTGAAGATGGTTGAAGTCCAGGGCACTTTCACCTCTGCACAAGAAACTTACGCCATGCACATTTTAAAGTTTACACACAGATAATTTATTACTGAAAACAATAATTTCAGGATGGGGTGCACACAAAATAAAATCAAAATATTTAATGTAATTTATTACACAATTAGAGAAATGATCAAATCAAGGGAGACACAACTTTGGGAGCAAAAAATATTAATACATTATAATACCGAGGACATTGCACGACATATTGGAAAACAGGCAAATATTGATTAGATGGTTACACTATTTTGGCACAGTCTGTAGTATGTTGGTTACTATAAACAACGAAGGAAAAGCTACATGGCAGCACAAGATTATAAAGGAGGTGTGAATTAAAATAAAAATAAAAGCACGACCTAAAAGCAATGTCCTCTTAGTAACAATAAAAATATATAAATAAAAATAAATACAAAAACACATGCTAAATACTAGCAGTTACATATTTGATCTTATCTGGTTTAATCTCGTGACAACAAAAGCAGACAGACATCGTTCTAACTCCGGTTCTGTGCATTCTTCAGAATCAAGAAGAAATTAAGTTTAAGACGGCTGTCTTCCGAGTTCATGCACCGTGTAGTCTGGTAAACTGAAATGACGTTAAACGTCTACCAGACTACGCGGCGCGACAACCCAGGAGACGGCCGTCATCGGACTCACCGCCGTGAAAACCTCAAATCCTACATAAATCAAGCTTAGATCAATGTTGCTGCTATCCACAACAATAAACATTTATAGGATATTTTGTTGTAACATAATAATGTAGCACGCATTTACTCTATTGGCAGCAGTAGTCTTGTCGTCAATGACGCGGATGTTTGCTCGTTACTCCGGTATCTCAATCGTCCGTACATCTTGATAAATGCAAAAATTTAGATTTATAAACAATTTAACATTTCTTAATACTGTACACACAATATCATAAATCCTATCAATTTAAAACAATGCACTCAAAATTGTAATTGCACTAAAAACTTGCCAGATCTAACAATTGCCGGACAAACGTCTCAACCAAGCCCAATGTTTTCGCATAAAAAGAGCCTGCAGCGGGATTTGAGACCTTTGCTGTAATCTTTATCTTATTGAGAAAATCAATACTTAATTACTCTTAGGCTTATGAAATAAAAATAAGTTTATGTTTCTCAAAGCCATCTTTGGTAAAATACTATACATCCATAAAAAACAACCATTAACAAAGTGTAATAAAAGCCTCCAATAAAATACATGCATGTCCCACGACTAATTTACAATTCATTATGCTCTGGCGACAGCAAATACTG